TGACACTTTCTATGAAAGCTTGGTGCTTTATGCAATATTAAATTCCTCTGTAGGAGACCTGACACTTTCTCTGAAAGCATGGTACTTTATGTAATATTAAATTCCTCTGTAGGAGCCCTAACACTTTCTCCGAAAGCATGGTGCTTTATGTAATATTATATTCCTCTGTAGAAGACCTGACACTTTCTCTGAAAGCTTGGTGCTTTATGCAATATTAAATTTTGAATTTTGTCAAACTCTAAAAAAATAAAGATTAGTCACTCACAAATAACCTAATGTAATAAATATCGAGAAATGACTCACATCAATTGCAAATATCTTACAAAATTTGATTTCAATGGAAAAATGGCACGAACAATATCAAGCGAAAAGAGAATTGACTTTTCTCACTCAGTCTAGTTAAAACCTGAACAATAAATACATATTTGATATAAACAGAAAAATGCTATCACATTACAAGATGTAGTTTATCATCACACAAATTTGAATAGAAAAGTTATGTTACTGAGAAAAGACTATCGTTTGTTAAATGCGATTGTTCAAGAACCTTTCCTAAAAGCAAACGTCCGTCACTATAATGCCAAGAAATGGTTATTAGGAAAACGGCTCAGGTATATAGACCCACTATAGAGTCGGGAACTCAGCAGAGACAGCAAGTGCCAGTGGCAAAAGAGAAGAACAGCCATTCAGTTCAAGTAAAGGGCACCCCAGGGATTGAACATTTGTAATGAGGTTAGTCTGTTTCACAGTGCAAGTCCTTCGCATGGAATCAAGTCGCATGCATCTTTCCTTGTTGGCTCTTGTCACGTCTTCTTAGGCCTCTTGTCTCACACACTCTGCTTAACAGGATTGGTTTGAAGAAGTCGTTTTAAAAGTAAAGAGTGACTGTTGAGCGCCGATATAGGTTTTAACAAAAAAGCAAAACATTGCACCAAAGTAAAGTGACAAAATATGTAAACTAAAGACATCTTTTGATAATTAAAATTTTTTACCATAAAATAGATCGTTTTGTAAAAATATTTAAATAACGCATTTGATTCTTTTCTTTTTTTTAAAATACAACCTTTAAATAACATAAGTTTTGTACAAATTACCATCTAAATAAATCAGCTTAAAGTATTGAATATCAAACTTGAACACAGGGGACTAAGCAGGTTATATTAAAACTATTTAAAATATGCAAATAAGAAAGTCATGTGACAACCATAATCAAAATAAGGATAGTATATATATTATAATTACATTTTGAATTTGGTTGTAGTTACATAGATAGTGTAATTGCCACCGAAAATTAATTGTTTCTTGGAAGGTTATGCAATAACCCATTTCGACCCAAAATATTCATACGGGCAGATCATAAAGATATGTTCATATTGGCGATTTAAAATGTCCAAGACGGTGATATCTTGTGGTCAATTTTTGATTGCTTTTTTAGAATCCAAACATCGTTTTTTGATCAAAATGATTATTTTTAGAACTTGTTCCATCAAGTTTATAATGTTCTTGAATGATCTTGTACACAACGTATCGTGTGAGACGAATAATAAGCACAATTGTATGTATCGATTTTGTACGTTTCAAGGTAGTCTAGAATCTCTACTTTTAT